GTGAACATCGTTATTTCTATGCCAATTCGATTATGGTGATTAATTAGTAGCAGTAGCTTAAAAGACTGTTGGTAGCAGAAGTTTACCCATTATTAATCTTTTCCCTCATTCGTCAGAGTTGGTGTATCCATGGTAACATAACAATTACTGAATTACCTTGATTAGTGCGCTGTCGCATATATTTTTAGTATTAGGCTGATGGAAAAATAATGTTAGAGAAGATCCTTTCTTTCTTTCCATCCAGATCTTCGCTTTAAGAAGAAGCGCTTGTCAAATTAAAATAGTTAAAAGAGAAGTTAATTTATATTATTAATTAATTATTAATTTTTTATTTTAATTTGTTTATAACAGATCGATCAAGTAAACGAGCAGACGAATTAAAGTAAAATAATAAATATTTTTTTTATTTTAATAATATAAAAGCAATCGCCGCCGCCCGTGTACACCCAAAACATCAAAGGCGTTACAAGCGTTACTGGCCTTTTGGGGAATAGGAATTCGAGGATTTTTTCTCAACTCACTCACACGATACACAAGGAAAGCGTTGATTCACATTTGCTTTCTGTGAGGCCTTAGTATCACTCCGGTCGAGTCGGCCTATTCGTACCGAATCATGGCTCTCCCAATTATTTCTTCATCAAAGATCAAACTGTTATGAAAACTATGCTAATTAATGAAAACATTATGCAGCCAGTTCTTATGTAACAAAAAGATGCTTTAACCAATTCAGAGTATCAGAATATAAACCCCAGGATATAATCTCACGCTACCTTCAAAAGTAGGCAAAGGTGTCTAAACAAAATTCTGAAGACAATATCCGGCACCCTTTGGTTCGTTACAAATGAACTCCATCAGAAGCTACACACGACCACAGAGAAACAGGAAATAGTCTTCCGGACAAATAAACATATAGACAGATAGTATAGGTAGTGTTTAATTGTTGTTTCATCAGATCTATCTAAGTGAGGGTACACAGAGCACCTGTGTTCGCCTTATAATATCTCCTACATTGTTCTGTAGGTCTAGTCTCTATTGATATTGACACTACAGTTAGTGCTTAATCTAAATCGTTTAGAAGAGTAGTCTTCTAACTAGTTATAGAACTAGTTATAGAACTAGTTTATGTTTAAAATGTCTTACAAGTTAAAAAAAATCACTTTTAAACTTGGGGAAAGACTTCCAATATAATTTATATACAGTCTAAATTTGATTACGAATGTTCGCTGTGAACGAGTTTATCATAGTAGAACAATTGGTCTCTCTATAAGACTGAATTAAATATATAAATTATTTTAAATAGGTAACTCAAAGATGACCTCGAACCTAAAACAATACGAAGGTAGTTTCTTCACTACTTAATTAATACTATTTCACAACGACTTGAATGCCCATGTAAATAAAAACTATGAGAAAAAAATATAGTTCAATTCCCTATAAATTCAACACTGTACCTCTATTTTTACAATCCTGTTGAAAGCAAATTGTTTTACTGTTGATTGATGATTTATCAAATAATTGCATGATATCAAATTTTTTTTACAGTTACAATACGCACATTTCAAACATTTTTTTTTAAATTAATTTATGAAACCCAATCCATTTTCACAAAATTAAAATAGGACTAAAATAAAATACCAGAATGCCACGACCAGACTTCGTACACACCCTTACAAACAAATAGTTTTGACAAGAGCCTTTGATGTGGTGTAATGAGATATCTGATTCGCGGTCGGGTACCATCGGGCTATTTAAATTGTTTTTAGGTGTAAACTTTGACACAAGGGAGCTCTTTGTTTGTAATCCGTTGGTGCGAAATTAGGGGACGAAAGTGTCTGATTTAGTTTTTATTGGCTTCACTTGTATGGTGAACCGAGAATTACAGGGTGGATTTTTATGAAGTACTCTGAGCCGAACGTTTAAATGATTCTACGTTAAAGACACAACAGCATTCAAGATTAGTTTTAAATTATGAGATAAATCGAGAGTGAACGAACATACAGACGATTTAACCCGTTGAAATTCATCCCCTAAATTTGTTCATACAAAAGTAGTCTCTAAACATTGGAAATAAGGTCTATAATGTAGTTAGTGGGGAGCGGTCACCGGTGACCACGTGGGGGATATAATAACAATGATAAATAAGTAAAGGAAAGATATATTAAAAAATGTCGTCTGCTAAAATATGTAAGTATATCTAATAAGTACCAGGATTTGAGAATATTTACTGGACTTTCCTTAACTGATTTCAATATTGTAAATACATTACCAAACAAGCTTCTTCCTCGGTAACAATGGTACTTATAGCCATTACTCTCAAATCAAAAAAAAGCAGAAACAAAACGCCAATCAATACAAAATGAACAACAAAAGAACGACAAATTACCGTTTTTTTTTTCAATCTTCGAACCCAGTCGGAGCCATAACGACATTATTGTGGAGCAAAACAAAGAACCAGACATTCCAGGGATTTTGAACCTTATTAACTCTTTATTTGAACTTAATCACTTGCCCTCATATTATGGCATAGTTGAAAGCCACCAGATGTCGTTTCAAAAAGGAAAAAGGATTAATATATTTAATTTTGAAGTTTTTCATCGTTGAACCATCTCCTCTAGAGACAAATCTCAGTGGATGACAAAAATAGAAAATTACTACTCCAAATAAAACATGAATATACAATTCTATCTGCCTTTTTCAGTCTTCAAGAGATCTGAGAAAAACTACTATGGAAAGAACCAACAGACAACTAATTAACTATTTTTTCCTAAACCAATTCATAACTATTCCGTCTGTCATAGGACAAAGCGACGGGATTTTCATTGACAATGTTAGTCATTTGATTCTTAGGGGCGAAAAATGCCCGAGGCGTTTCCCCACCACCAACTTTTCCATTTTCAACTCTATTTATTTAGTACAGAGCTGTTTTTATAGTGTGAAAGTTTTGAAGTATTAGGTTGTCTTTGATGATGATGATATCAATAGGATTTTACGCATAGTTAGTTAGTGTTAGAGCTATATTGTGGAAAGCTCTTTGATTCCGAGTGTATTTTTGATTCCATGTTTCACGGTGTTTGAACACCTCTGGGGGAATGGCGCGGGTTAAAGTTGAACGAAACAAAGACGATTTTCGTATTTTTGTTTTTGTGATTCTTGACAATAAATTGAAGTATTTTCAAAAATGACTTATACCTTACAAATAAAACTCTGAAAGTACATTAAATTCTTGTGGTATTAACAATAAATAGGGATTATTTAAAATACTATACGACCTGAGGTCTTCAAGAGTCTCTAGATTGAGATTTCTTCCAACCAACCGATCTAGGAGTAATTGAGCAGCGAGGCCTATGTCCAACATCAGTAGTAAACGTCTTTGGCTAACCTACCTAGCATAACCTAAAAATTGGGGTGATGACAGGGTATGAAAATTAAAAATCTAATTAGTCCGTAAGTTAGGTAATGAAAAAATATTAGACACGTTTTTTTTTATTTTGTCGTATAGCAAAACAATACTTGGATAAAACGAATCTAAGTTAAGGAGTGGGGACGTCATTTCTTTGTATCAAATGTACATAGAAGTGACGTCACGCGATATTTCAAATAAATATATCGTCGAAAGTTTTCGTTTTTGTATACAATTAAAAAATACGTGTCTAATGATTTAAAATAATCTACCAGACGGACATAAAAATAAAAATTAGGCATCTACCCTATTAGATAAGTATTTTAACCATTATTATATGAAACGTATTTTATCTGTAATCATAAACCAATTGCTTATCTTCTACTTTTATCTACGAAATCATGAGTGTGGTATACCGATTTTGCTTATAGAAATACATAGTTAACCTTCAGTTCTAACTTGATATCTATGGAAGTTATCTACCGAAGCGTCCAAACGACTCCGGTCATAATCGAGGGTAACTACATCGATCACTTGCAATATGATCCTTGTCACTATACTTGAGGGATTATCTTTTAGCTGTATAGTGGAGACTGGTATAAGTTTGATATCGAGAAGATTTACTATAACTATTGATTAAGTATAGGAACAATTTTTATTGTGTTACGTCGGTCGTGGTTGCCCGGAGGTTTAGGACGCCCGCTTCTCATGCATGAGGGTGCGGGTTCGAAACCTACCAACGGCAAGTACCAATGTGACTATTTCCAAGTTATATGTACTTTCTTAGATTATTTAAACACCACTGACAAACGGTGACGGATAATATCGTGAGGAAACCTGGGCTTATAATTTCAAATTATAAGTTTGAAATCGCCAACCCGCATTGAGCAAGCGTGGTGATTAATGCTCTAACCTTCTCCGTGTGAGAAGAGGCTTTGTTTAGCAGTGGACATTAATAGGCTGTTGATGATGATGATGATGATGATTGTTACGTCTAGATGGTTTGTTAATTTCAATTTCCTAAATTGTAATTTAGATTGTTATTGATACGTTCTTGACTAATGTAATAATTTTAAGCAAACGTTTGATTTCGATAGGAGTGGTGGCAAAATGTAAAAAATAAGAGGATAAAGTAGAGGGTTCCATATAAAATACTGACATTCAAATGAAGGGTGACTTGGAATCCCAACAACGCACATTTTAAGCACAACCAGAAAACTGATAATTATTATTATTATTATTTATCGTTTTATTTTTTTTATGCATAAGCCGGTAAACGAGCTGACGGATCACCTGTTGGTAAGCAATCGGCGTCGCCCATGGACACCTAGAACACCAGAGGCGTTACAAGTGCGGTATAACTTTTTGGAGATTAGGAGTTTGAGGATCGTTGGGAATTCAGGGATTGGGGAGTTTGGGGAAGTGGAGGGTAATTGGGCCTCTGGTAACCCCACTCACACGACGAAACACAACGCAAGCGCTGCTTCACGTCGGTTTTCTGTGAGGCCGTGGTATCACTCCGGTCGAGCCGAAGCACGGCTCTCCCACAATAATAATAATCTGCTTATGTATTGTTTCTAATTGATTTATTTTGTTTCAGGCTATGGCACTAACTCGTTATCGGCTATGTCGAAGTCGACGCTCGACGCGCACACACATTTACGTCAACCAGGTCAGTAGAAACATTGATAACTACGGAAATTAAACTTTTGATATACGCTTTGTGTGTTGATTTAGTAAAAATATGCAGTAAATAAGAAAAGATGTCGCAGCTAAGAAAACAATGTTCTAATTTAGGCAATAATTTCTAAGTTTTTATAATAACTATCGTGAGACATACTACATTAAGTAAAATCGCGGGTTACTCACATGAATGTACTGAGAAAAGCTAGACCATTCTGTGGTTCGAAACTAATAGAGCTTGTCTCAGTATATTCTCATGTATAACCCGCGATTTTACGTAATTAAATAATTTCTAAATTACTAGTAACCTTTGATTAAGATTTCAGTAGCTACAACATGACATAAAACACAACACGCAGAGATGCGTTTCTTTACCCATACTGACACTATTAGTAACAATTTGTCCTATTTCAAAGTACATCATCATATCTCTTTTAAAAAGCTTGCTACATTTTGAAAAATCAAACCCAATATTGAAGTTAAACGAACTATAACATTGTCGAGCGCACGCTTCTGAGTAGAAACGTAAATGTTTGTAGAGAACGGTCAGTTACCTAAGGTACATACGGGCTTTCGGTGACCATTCGCCATCTTGTCTTATCCTCGTAGGTTACTAACTGTGAAATTCGGGGCACTGACTGAGAAATTCGTGTTTGTTTGTGTTAAATGTCTACTGTAGTTACATGAAGTAATATTAATTGTTTAAATTGAACTGGGTTACAACGACCTAATTAAAAAGTCATGTCGAAACATTTTAGTTGTAAAATTGAAAGAGTATTTATTTTTGTCGTGTTTGTATGTCGTTTGTGAAGTCTCGCAGCCTACTGTCAGTACTATCAGTAAGCTGCACGACATCGCCGCGACCCTGCACGCTGCTCATGAGGAAGAACCCCTCTGTGGTTCGAAACTAGTAGAGCTTTTCTCCGTATATTTACGTGAGTAACCCGCGATTTTTAGTTAATTGCTGTTTTTATATGAGCAGTTATTTATTATGAAAGTGAACACTATATAGTTACTAGCTTCTTGCGTGTGCCGGTGTGCCGTAGAATCGACACTGTTTTATTGATATTACATCCACATATTTATTACTTGCTTGGTATGTTTATTTCTTGTTCACCACTGAGGTTGAATAATAGGTTTCGAACCGAGTAACTATTTCACACAATCAGAGCGAAGCACTCAGATGAAAAAAAAATCGTACTATTATATACAAAGCAATACCTCTTCACAAAATATACACACTATCATTATTTCCACATAATAATATAGAAGGAGCGGAAAAAGAAAGTCTGAGAGCAAAGTTTGTACAAACCACAATATTGTTGGAGCGAGCGAACATCGTAACACGACCCTAGACCGGTGAGCACGCGCCAACAGCAAACATTGGTCCCAATGTTTTCTAATGAAATCGAGAAGTGACACGCCCGTGTGCTGTCACTCATTCTGGCCTGCCCAAACTAATGTTTATCGTCCCTCACCTTATAGAACATTCCCACGGGCTGTTTCATAAAGTTTTAGTCGTTCATTTCTAGTTATTTCTTGTAGATACTTTACTTAAGACACTAATACTAAAAATTGACAAGCTTACAACCTTGCAAGATTCATAAGATATCAACAAACTTCACCAGTGAATTCTTAATATCGACTTGCATCCTTACTAATATTATAAATGGGAAAGTGAGTTTGTTTGTTTGTTCCGCTTTCACGCCGTAACTACTAAACCGATTGCTTTGAATTTTTGCAGACGTAAATTAGAAGTCTGGATTAAATAATAGGGTACTTTTTATCTCGGATAAATTTGATATTCTCGAGGGAAAACAAAAGTATTGGTATAGATGGCGCTATGTGTATTGGTATATGTCACATAGGCTACTTTTTATCCTTTTGTAACGCGAGCGAAGCCGCGGATAAAAGCTAGTTACAAATAAATTATCTTGACTTAAAACGGAACAAAGAATGAATGCAACAAAAAGTAAACAGAAAAATTCGTAATACAACAGTAATCGTCAACTACATTAAGAATTTCTATTGAGTCGGTACAAAAATGACGGCGATATATCCGAAATATTTTTGTAAAGCAGCTGTGGCTGGCACTCGGAAATTCCTTGTCCAGCGACGTCCAGCCACTTTCCTACATTCTTATGGTCGGAACAACTGTACCAACTGCCTCTAAACATGCGATTTCTTATCGTGGTCGTATTTTTCTTTCATTAATATGCAAGGTACGTGTTTTGAAATGATTCAAGGTGTAATAAAAGTAGGTGTTTCGAAATTAGGGCAGATGTAATACGTATTTGGGTTAATAATTCCAATTCAATATTGTTTTACTTACTTTTAGTGATTCCTATGACATCACTTACAGCCGAATACTGAAAATCTACTCAATTTTAAGTCACGCATAAGTATAGTACTGTCACTACAACTTCTTGGCACGATATGTTTAAGTATAAGTTCTTATTGAGTAGTCTTTTAGTATTCGGGCGTCAGACTAGGTACTTACTTACTTGCGTGCATTTAAGTCCTATCTTAGCCTTAACAAAACATTAATATTAATTTCCCATCCCATAGGAGAAACAGAAAAATGAATATTTACTTTAACCTCACCATTGAACTAACATTATTTCTTTACAAAAAAATCACTAGCCGTGTCTAAAATAACATGTTTACCAACCGTTTGATCGGTCGCACCCAGTGCCACGCAAACAGGGGTAAGTAAAAATGGCAAAGAAATCAAAACGTTGTTTCCACAGTGCGTGTGGTGACGATCGACATTGTCTTTATGTCGATTGAAGTTAGGGGCCCATCTCATGCGTAACTTATCGCCTTTGACGCTATTCAACCGAATTTGGTAATATGTAAGGATTTTGCAGATATATAAAACCTTACTGATATATGAATAAGTCAAGGCCTTTTGATTGTAGCTCTTTGTAGTGTGACAGTTATAAATCAGGATCTGTAATTTGTCTGTCTGTTGCTCTAAATTATTTAGAAGTTAATCTTCATCTGAACTTTGCTAAAGTCGTTTCATCAATAAAAGATCGTTTCAATCCAAAAATATTTACTTTTCATTATGGTTTTCACACTAACAATACCAAGCACCTGAAAATATACGTAAGAAAAGAAAAATAGAATTGTTGCAGCAAGTCTTAAAGTGGTGATTCGGATTCAATTGATGCATTGTGCGGATTGAAAGCAGTCAGAATTGAATCATTATGTTCCAAATGGTTATAGGTCCGGCCCTAACAAGACGTTTATTTGAGCTAACAATTTATAGGTTACTAAACCAGAGCTTTTACTTTAAATAAAATATAAATTTAAATTGGAGTAAATACAACAAAACCAAAATGGTATCAAACGCCAGTAACCAACGACTTTCTACACCTTTTGGAGACGAAAAGAATAAAAGGAGCGAAGACAACAACCCACAATTCTTTGAAACAAGATCTCGCGATTGATCTCACAAAACAATTACTAACCAATAATCATACGTCTTAGCAAATAGGAACGTCAAAATATATCTGTCGGGGTGAGCATTTATTGAATCTCGGAGTGGGGAGCACAAAATCGCAATCAAACGGCTAATGCAGACAGGGGCCCAGCACTAACGACCCACTGGGGGACTAGTAATGTACTCAAATCGATTAATTATCCTTTTATTATTATTTTATGGGCTTTTTGCTTCTTCTTAACTGCTATCTTAGTACTTTAATTCCTTTGTGATGTTGCAATGCTTACTAGTTTATTATTGATTTAAAGTTATCCTTATGATGACAGATACATTAATTTATTTAATCGGGGCATTTCATCATTTTGCCTGGCTTTCATATAAGGAATATCAGTGACTCAATCGTTAATGAGGAGTTTGAAGTAATGCCAACGAAAATATTTGTAAAAGATCAAGACAAAAGATCAGCATGCAAAGTGTACAAATATATCACTGTACCGACCATGTAGTCTATTAAAACCATAAAGAATATCGAAAAACTGCCTTAAAATGACCACCTTTTATTGATCGTCGGATGTCTATGTTGGCGTCATAATTGGAATACAAATTCGCTCTTTGACGCCACGGCCGCACGTCGGGCAGTGATTTGGCCCTTTGTGCCGCACGCATTAACTCCTTCAGGCCTCGAGCTACACCCCACACTTTATCATACTCTAATCGAAAAACAACTTTAACTTAAAGCTCCAAGGCACAAAATGCTCAAACACAGCCCAATTTTACCGATTTACGATTTTCTGCTAAGGCAGTAAGAACTATTTCTCTTTTGTCATATAACGCACATCATTGGCTCTCAAAGTTTCCTGTGGAAGGATATGCCACCTTATAACTTGTAAATAGAGTTTGATTTAGCTTATAGAGGTATTAACACTGCTGAAGATTAGTGGTAATGGCGCGTAATTACAGTAGAAAAGACTAACACCGTGAGGTTCATTTGGTGAGCACCAATCAGTTGTAATGTGAAGGGGTTTCGGTTTGAGTGCCGTTCTGGGCACCAACTGATTCACTTAACAGCAAACACTTTAGGGCACTTGTTCCCAACAACTTTGGAGATTCTTCGACCAGACTTGAGTATTGGCAAATGAGTTTCTCAAATAAAATCAAGAAGCTCAAGAAACTGAATACAGTTTCATTGTCTATTTTGATATTCATGGCGTATAACTAAAGTTATTCATACTAAACAATATTTAATAATATGCTATCGACTGAACGCCTGAAATGGTACTAAATAAGTTGTAAGTTCGTAACTATCAAGCCTTCGCAATCGTTTTGGAGAGCATAGAATGAGAGACTGAACTCGAACCATTTTCTCGTTACACTATTATGATACAAACCTTTATAAAATCACTACAGCTAGAGATTCCATGAAACCTAGATAAACCCCCTAAGTGACGAAGGAGCCTCAACAAATATTCTACATCTCTGTCAAGAATTTTCTCGACATTGGCACAATAAATTTTATATGGAGTTCGCCATGTTTGCTATAA